ACACACACACACACACACACACACACAGAGACACACACACACACACACACACACACAGAGACACACACAGACACACACAGACACAAGGCATGATAAACACACTACACCAAAATGACCAGAACTGATCAGACACAATAAAAGATGATAAAATGACGAGGAGTAAAACACTGAACACAGCCAGGCAACATACACTAAGTACTTGTACCAGCTAGATTTCAACTGTAATCATGTTTTCAATTTTTCAATTACACTGTTTTCAATTACTGTTTTAAAGTTCCTAAAAGAAAATCAATCATTTTTAAATCAACAATTCATGAACACATATTAAAGGTTTTGTTGAAAGAAGCATTTACATAAATGCACATTTAAAACTAGAACATTCCATAACTTAAAATATCATTAAATTGCTATTAATTAAATCATGAATTTCATTTTTCGTTTTGTTTCGACCCACACCACCTGCTCGTGAGAGTGGGATAAAGCAGCACTTTTATAGTTTAAGGTTTTGGCATGTACACACATATAACCACACGATATATATCTAAAAAGCTCAACCTAATGTGCCACAGTCCAGAAAGGTGTGGAATTCATCAAATCAGCGAAGTAACTGTGACACTGTGTTTTTCTCCTGTAGCCTATATATCCCTCTGATCATCAGAGCAAGTGCTGCGATAGTTTAGCCCCTGCCACCTGAGGAGGGGAGCTAAACGTTTTCAGATCACCTTTACAGAGGCAGCAGGTGAGCTGCTGTAGACTGTAGGCTCTCTACACAACTATAAATCCTGCAGGCCTACTCGTCCACTAGAGGGAGCTGCAGCCTGACAATTCTATGCGTGCAACTTGTTTCATAGGAAGCACCCTTGAACATGTTATGTGGGTTTAGACTGAGATATCCTGTGACACAGAAGAACAAAGAATGAAATGAATACATCAAGTACCGGTAAGTAATGGGTATTGTGGCATTAGCTACAAGAGAAAGAGGCGTGTGGATATTACACTTGAGAATGAAACAGATCAAGTTTGATTGTAGCTGACTGATTTCTACACAAGATTCTACAATTTCACACTGATAATCATAATCATAAGAACAGCATTAGGATGCATGAAAACTTATTTTAAAGATGCATGGTAAACCCTTTGCAGAACGTGCTTCAGTGATTCTGTTTTCTACAGACTGCATCGATTTGTCCTCATTTCTGACGGTGTGTTATATGATCTTGGTCCGGCTCCGAGCATCTGGACCTGCAGCTCTGACTACACCATCTCTCTACAGCGGTCGCTCAAATTCACTTTCAGGTGTCCAAGACCAGCTGCTGTCTATTATCTCCAAAAGCTGCTTGCCACACTCACATTTTTCACATTTCAAATCTGACATGAAATGGCTTATAAATGTCAAAACTATGAAAATACCTTCAGCTTGTTTAAAGGCAGTATTTCAGGCATTCACCCCAAGCCCACTGGCCACGTCCAGAATCACGTTCTCTCTGAGTACACACTTCTTTTGAAACTATTACAACTCATACATTCACACCAGCATAACTCTAGATATCTTGAATTGGATTTCGGACTAGTTACAGTTTCATAATGCATAACAGATTGGAATTCTTCTTTGTCAAATCGCAGATATCTGCAATTTAATTATGGATATCTCTATATATGGTTTTTGGCTAGGAAATACTTTCTTTGTACTTGTCTGCATTCAGCTTTTTGACTGGCAAAAAATATCAAATCAATATAGATATCTGGAATTAAAATCCTCACTATTGAAAATGATTAAAAGATATCAGAAATGCTACACCTTTGTCAAGCCAATTAACCAAATGAACCATTCTGTCAAAGAATTGTCTTTATAATAAAGGCCCTGTATGTTTGGGTCATTTTAAGTGGAATTATACAGAAACAAAGACAAAACCTAGTGGAGGTAGATGTAGAAATGAGGATTATTAGCAGGATTATTTTCCTAAAGTAAACTAGTGGAAGCTTTTGCCTTGGCATAAAAAAATTAAGGTAGCCTATTTAATAAAAGGTCATTACGACTTTATCACAATTCTGACTTCTCACAATTCCTTTATAGTTAATATCTTGAAATTTCTATTTAACATCTTGCTTTTTTTTCCCTTTAAATTGTGAGTTTCTTTGAATATCAACAGTGGTAAACAGTGAGTTAATTAATTACATCTGATTAATAATTATGTTTTGAATATTAATGTTCCAGGTCTCTTGTATCTCCAACTATGTTTTTGCTGTTAAATACAAAGATTTAAAAATGACAAGTAAATATTTTTATTCTACACATTTAATTTTTTTATGATAATTTGTGACTACAGTCAGTAAAGTGGGACACATTTTCAGCTCACTTGTGCTTAAATTACACAATTTCTTACAATAGGACAAACAGAAAAAAAACAGTAATATTGTTAATATATATTGGAAAATGTTATGTATTCCTGTTATGCGAATCTGCATTTTCAGAAGCCATTTCAGAAGCAGTTAGCAGATTTATTTATACCGTTTATAGCATATCAACAGTCCAGCTGTCTCAGTTGTGGTGTTAGAAGAGTGTAACACCTTGAATCGGGAGATCTTGTTATATATATCTATATCTATCCGATCTCTATCGTTAGTTTGATCTGACCTTCTGCGTGAGCTCTCAACCAAAGCTGTGTTCCCTCATTTGCACACGGAAAAGTAAGAAGAAATAAATCTGGAAATAAATACACGTGGGAATAAAAAATAATAAATACATACATAAATAAATTTTATTAAAATAAATGCAAAAAGAAATACATAAAATAATATAATACATAAAGGGAAATTACAAATGAACTATATTTGTTTTTATCAAGCCATTTATTCCTTTATTTATTTTCCTGTCATTTTATTTATTTATTTATCTATATATTTATTTGTTTTTAATGTCTGCAGGTTTGGGCCTCCACAGGACATTACCTGAGAAGTCAGTGTAAATACGTCAGCAAACTGCGCTCTTTCAAGGACGTGCATTTAATGCATGGCCAAAGTAAGAACATCATCTAAGTGTTTAAAACATGCAATGTAGGATTGCCAACTGCTCCCGTATTTAAGCAACATTACATATTGAATCCATACGGAAAGCAGTTTATCGTGTCACACACAGTTTAGGGAGCTACACACTCTCACAAACACAAAAACAAGAGCGAATTAGTTGAAACTGTAATAATAACATATTCGGCAAACTCTTCTGTGCATATGATGTAAACATATGTTTCTATTTACAATGTTTGCAGCATTGAGCAGTTCAGCCAATCACAGACACGTCTGTTGAACCGCTGAACTGAGATGAGTGACAGGCTCAGTGCAACTGAAATTATAAATGCTGCACTCTTTGCTATCTGTAATGCAGTCCGAATTTTAATAAAAGGGTTTTTTTCATTTTTCTTTTTCATGATGCTAAGAGGAATGTCCCCTCACTGAAGTTCAGCTATAGTTTAGTTATTCTATATAAATGCTCAAATGAATCTCAGACATGAACATATTTGCTTTGCTTCATTCATGTACAATATATATTTCCTTTTAGAATTAATTTGTTTGTGTATACACACACACACACACAAACAAATTCATTCTAAAAGGGAATATATATTAAAAATAAATAAATACATTTATATAATAAATATATATTCTATTTTAACTAATGAACTGAGATGAGTGACAGGCTCAGTGCAACTGAAATTATAAATGCTGCACTCTTTGCTATCTGTAATGCAGTCCGAATTTTAATAAAAGGGTTTTTTTCATTTTTATTATGAACATTTTATTACAATAATAATGTAATACTTATTACAGTATGTGCAGTTTTTACATTGTGAGTTGCTACATACGTGAAACTCAATTTGCACATTAAATAAATGAAACCACAGAAAGATGGATCAACTTATAAAGGACAAAACTTAAAAAAAGATCTGACATTGAAAATTAATCCAAACATGAACTAGATCAAATCAAAGAAAGCACTCCTTAAAATGTTTGCAGAAACATGTGCAGCATTATCATGATCAATCACGCATCTCTGCTCTACCAGTGTTCATAACAAATTCATTCTAAAAGGGAATATATATTAAAAATAAATAAATACATTTATATAATAAATATATATTCTATTTTAACTAATGCCTAAGTGTAAGTATTGTACCGTGATGATGATGATGATGATGATAGTAAATGCATGAATATTTAAATCGTAGGTAGTTTAAACCATTGTTTTATGTTTAAAAAGCCTGTTAAAATTATGACAACATGACAATATTTTTGGTGAGTTTATAATGTAATACATTTCTCATAATGTAATAATTGTTATTACATTATAAGCTCAAGATTTTATTACATTTTGAGAAAATTATTTCATTATGAACATTTTATTACAATAATAATGCAATACTTATTACAGTATGTGCAGTTTTTACATTGTGAGTTGCTACATACGTGAAACTCAATTTGCACATTAAATAAATGAAACCACAGAAAGATGGATCAACTTATAAAGGACAAAAGATCTGACATTGAAAATGAATCCAAACATGAACTAGATCAAATCAAAGAAAGCACTCCTTAAAATGTTTGCAGAAACATGTGCAGCATTATCATGATCAATCACGCATCTCTGCTCTACCAGTGTTCATGCTGATCAGGATACGATCGTGTAATTGATGTGAGAAAAATATCAACCAGATATCATGGAGAGTTAATGTCTTCTACCCAGCTTGGCCTTGGTGTAACACAATAAATAACCCACAGTCTGTAAGACTGTCCTCGGAAACATTTGTGACTGCATGTGTGTGTGTGTGTGTGTGTGTGTGTGTGTGTGTGTGAGAGAGAGAGA